TTAAGTATCGAAAGGATAAACCTCGAAGTTCAAGGTCTTCTGCCTTTGGTCAATCCTATTTGGGGTGAATCGTCCCGTCTCGGAATCGTAGTGACGTTTAGCTGGGGTTTATAGAATGACTTTCGGTGAGAAATCGATGTTTTAATCGGGGCTTTTATCCTGATCTCAGAAGAACCAAGCACCAATCAACTCCGGAGACTTAAGCGAAAGTCAAGACGGGATTCGATCCTCGGTTTATAAATGTCGTAGTGCGCCACTTGGCACTACACCACCTCCACCTACCTGACCTCGTACAGTGGATCAGACCTGAATCATACTTATTCAGATATCAAGACGTACCGTGCCAGGACCAACACCGAGTAGTACTGAAGTGGCATCGTGCAGCGACCGACTACATTCATGCAAACTTTGTGGGGACACCTGTCTCAGAACGTCGCTTCATACTTACGCAAGTGAGTTCAAGTTTTGTACCATACTTGTAACCAGTAGAATGATTGAAATAGATGATCACCTAAACGATTTAGGGACCGTTGGAAGCGACAGTGAACGAATTTTGGCATATGGTGGCGCAAGAAGAAGCAGAAACAATTATAATGCTGTGTAATTGCATCGAAACCGTCAGTCGTTTTGACCTTTCAAGCAAGACTTTGAAATTACCTACAGAAAAGCTATTATAATAATGATGAACAGATGAGACGAAGGGAAGAGGGACGGAAGTGTCATAGAGGGGAGTAGGCAGAAGAAGTTCGGACGATTTGAACGACTTTAGCGCCTATCGTTGGGGCCCAAATTTGAAGTAGAGTAGATTAAAAGGATCATCCGACCCTACTAAACTACTCTAGTTCGAGTTTGTGCCCCGAAAATTGGCATCAGAGTCGTACAAATCGTCCCGAACTTCGCCGCGCAAGATGCCACGCGCATCCTCGGACGTCTCGTCCCTCAGATTTCTCTGCAGTTTGTCTGCAGGTACATCCTTGTGAAGTAGAAAATAACCTTCCCACCTCCGATTTGTTTGGATTAGGTGAAGGGGCAGCTTAGGTACCACCATAAATCATTTCCCACCCCAACCAATAGGGTTTTACTTTTTTTCTGAGGTTGATCACTTAACGGCACAGTTCACGATAATTTCGGGTAATCCAGAATATGATGAAAATGGAAGACAAGATTGAAGATAGTGCGATAAAGGTGAAGAAACTGCGTTTATCGGTGTTTCCAAAGTGAAAAAGGCTTCGAAAACCCGTTAAAAAGGAGGCTGGACGAGAATGAAACCAGAAAAATGAGGGAGACTGGGGCGTTCGGACGAGCTTTATAATGTGGCTCACTACGTACGTGTGAGTCCTGGTGCGAATAACTGACTACGGTGAGCAAAAACTTTTTCACTCATCAGCATAAGTTAACGAAAAACCCTAGTGACGGCAAAATTAGCCCACATTCTTCAGCCTCTTGGAATAGTAAATTAAATAAGGAAATCAGCAGGAAAAAGAATAATACAGAAAAAATAATGGGAAAAATCGCCTTATCACTCGGCGATCAGCTGATTGTGTGTGGGTCCTAACGCGAATACTTGCAATCTGTATCGCCTCGACACTCGTCTGACATGACATCGATCGAGAGGCGGG